AGGTTATTTATTTATTTATTTATTTTTGCAGAACTAGGGATTGAACTCAGGCCCTTGTGCTTGCCAAGGAAGCACTTATTCTACTGAGCCATCTCCTCAGCCCCCTAAAACAGTAGGTTTTAGAACTGCTTTGTGATCAGTATCAAAAGAAAAGTTCTATTAACACCACTTATTCGGCTTCCAATCATATCAGTGAGAATAGTTTTCAAATTTCTCATATGACCATTTTTCAACAACGGAATAGTCATGATGTGCAAAGAAGAAATTTGGATTTTTCCTTCCTCCATAATGTTTATAAATCCTGTACTTCTCACAGGCTTTTGAAACACGTAAAAAATAAGTAAGAAATATTCCAATGAATGAAACATACCAAATGTCATTAATAAGTGACACATTCCTTTGGGGAAATGGCTGTTTAAAAAAAATCCAGTCTGTGTATGCAAAGTAAGCAAGGAAATTCAGTCTTTTTTTATTCTTTAAAAATCTGTTACTCCTAAAACACCATTCCACAAAATTGGAAGTGAAGGACTGAAAGGCCAAGAGAAAGAGGAAAAAGGAAGGAGGCACACACCACCAATACAAAAGAAGGAAAATTGTACAAACTGAAGCAGTTTATAACAGACTGGGGTCACACTCCCAGCCACCGAAGGCTCGCTGAAGAAATTCACCCATCCACAGGAGCTGGGTTCTCTTGGTGAAGCTGGGAGAAGAGCGATTCACTGCCGCGGAGCAATCCCCCTTCCTACTTCAAAGCCAGGCTTCTGCACCATTCCTCCACGGGGAGGGCCTCTCATGCCACCACCCAGCCCACCTCTGGGACTTCCAGGTCCCCACAAGTGGTTGTCTCAACGGTCCCCTTCCCTGGCAGCACGAGTCTTCTTCTCTTCCACATTCAGACGGACTTCACCTCTAAACATCATGGGCCTGTTGCTAAGGACCTTCTGCACAGGCTCAGAATCATCGAACACGACAAAGCCAAAATTGGGTAGCTTCCCACCACTGTTTATGCGCAGCTCCACCACATTCCCATAGTTTTGAAAGAAATCTTTGAGTTCTGATTTGTCCACCTCATGAGGCAGGTTCCCAATGAAGAGTTGGTGGCTGTCCGGATGTCTCACAATTCTCCGAGGTTCAACATCACTTTGCTCCCCAGCTTCACGAATTGGTCTGGGTCCCCTCTGAGGAGGAATATTTATTCGTTGTTCTCTCACTCTTTGATCCCTTTGGGGTCTCTGTGGTGGAATCTGAGATTCAGGTTTAGATTCTGGACGAGGCTGTGATGCTGGTACTTTCACAACATGAGGAGGTATCCCAGTAACAGGAACAGTTCCACTAGGAGGAAGGTTCTTACTGGTCACAGATGCCCAAAAAAATGTCTGCAGGTCCTCCTGTACTGTCTGAGCTATGTCTCTGGGTGCTGGAGAAGAACTCTTCTGAGCATCCTCAGGAGCAGCTTCTTCTAAAACAGGTTCAGACTTTTCTTCTTGGATTTCAGGTGCAGGTTCTTGCTCTGGTTCTGGTTCAGGATCAGGTTCTGGCTCAGCAACAGTTTCCTCTAAATGTTCTTCCAGGTCATTGCTGACAGTCTGATCATAGAAAGTACCAGAATCATCAGGTACAGCCTCGGGCATCTGCTGCCTTTCTTCAGGCTCTTCTACTTCTTTCTCAGATTCCTCCTGAGGCTCAGTAACAAAGCTACCAAAGACCTCATCTTGGTATCTGAAGATATCATTATGAACATAGAATTTATTTGCAACTGAGCCCTCAGGAGCAAGGACAAACGTCTGCATGAACCTCCGCAAAGCCTGGTTGTTGTTAGAGAGCAGTCCCATGACCTGGACCACCACACCATCATTCAGGGTAGCATGTGCATCAACGTGGAGGATCTTGGTGTGGCAGTTAGTGAAGTTTTGTGACATCACTTTCCTATGAATTTCTGTCTGTAAACTGCATCTGCAGGTTTTCCATTTGAATCCAATCCCCCGTGGACATAGGAAGAGTTCTTTCCATAAAATCGATGCAGCATGTCCGGGGCCTGGGTTAGCAGGGTGCAATACTGTCTCACAAATTCCCGCCCGACCAGCAGGGGACTAGGCTTCTCCATTACCATTGCTTTGGTCAGCTCAACCTGCGCGGCTGAGCAGGTGTGAGACGAGCTCTGCTGCATGGCACAGAAAGTGACAGAAACCCCTCACGCAAGTGCATCCGCACCGAAAGCATGCTTTTAAGTCTATATTCCAAAGCTCAAATAAAAAGAGGGTCAGCTGTTCACAAAAGGACATACAAACACATAAGTACACTCAACACACAAAAGAACATCTACAAAATCAGAGTGCACTCAAATATATTTTTGACCAAATTAGATTAGAACATTTTTAAGTTTGTAATTATGAAAAAAGACTAGCCAGAACTTTTGTAGGTCAATTAATAGAGATCTCTTGTAAGAATTTCAAAAACATAAAAACTTATTTATAGTTACTATATATCGAGGGAGAGGCTGCAAGATGGCAGTGACCCATCATGTGAGGAGGCACTTTTAGATGGTGCTCTGACATCACAAAAGGAGGGAATACAAGATGATGGCTACAGGCCATATGGCCTGGAAGATAGTGGTGAATCATCATGTGGCTGGTGCTGCAAATCAGTGCTCTGATATCATAGGAGGAGTGACCCTACAGTGGCGGTGGATGGCCACATGGTGCATAAGATGGTGGTGGCCACATGGTGTGCAAGATGGTGGTGGCTGGCCATGTGGTGGCAGGACTGTGGCACAGCTGGGGGAGTTGCATGGAAGGAGATGGAACACAGCAGGAAAAAAGGTGGGAGGAGGGGCTGTTCATGACTGAAGTTCCCATAGGGAAGGGGAAAGAGAGGCAGCGGAATCTACAGGGGAACTGGAGGAGGCAGATGCAGAGAGTAGAGGTGTTGCTACAGAGTGTGGAGTAAGTAAATAAGTGGTCAGAGGAGAATGACAAGGCAGTTTCTGGTAGAGGGGGTGGAGAGGGTAGTACCAGTGAATAAGGCAGGAAGATTGCAGAGGGAGTAAAGTGGGAGGAACGTGTTTTCAGAGTCAAACAAGGCTTTGAAGGGATTTCTGGCCATTTGCTGTTGTGATAACAGAAATTTTAAAAAAATTACTCTTTTGTGTTTGAGGTAATCTCAAAATGTGAGGGTGCTGAGGTTCTTTAGGAGACAACACAATGGCGTGTGCCTTGGAGGATGGGAAGAATATTTCCCATGGTGGTCAAATTAAAATGAGCCAAAGTTAGGGCAAAAGCCTGATGTCACTTCCTGCCAAAAAGCTGTTATTTTTTAGCCTTCAGTGAATATGAGAGAGAGGGAGCCAACACCCACTTTAGCAGTCATCATTAGAAAAAGCAGGGGGCCGGGGACTAGATGGTGAAGGAAGATAGGGGTAGGGGTGGGAGGCATTCTGACTTTGAGAGTTTTGAGATGAGAAGAAAGATGAACAAGACCCCTGTAGTTTTTGGGCTCATGTGTGAGAATTGAGATTGGCCGGTGTTGGATGCAAACTAGCAACAGCAGGCAGCAGAGCCAAAAGCAGAAGCAGAAGATGGCTTGGTGAGGGAGCTCAAAACTGGGGCAGTGGATAGCCCAGGGACTACACTATTCACTGTTATGGGCTCTCAAACAGAAGCCAGACAGGAAGCGTTCGGCAACCTACAAATGCCCAGGACCCAAGTTCATTCCCAGTGCAGGGGTGTCTCCTTATGGTCTGGCTTCGCAAATGGATCCCAGTAATTGGGATCCTGGATGAGCCCCCAAATGTTATGGGTTCTCAAACAGAAGCCAGACCAGAGTTCAGATTAGGAATTTAAGAGCCTTTATTACTGAGCTCAGGGCCGCCAGTCATTTCTCATGCAGGAGAAGACTGATCAGCCCCTAGCCTGGGGAGCAAGGGGTTTTTAAAACAAGTCACATGACTAAGAGATCTTTTACATTTTAGCAGTATACACAACTTGCCTATGTGGAAGCTTGTTTAGCAAGCCGCTTTTACAAGACAGGAATTAGATTAGGGAGGGGAGGGAGACAGTTACTCGTTACTAAACAGCCTTGAATAGAGGGTGAGTACACATTCTGTAGGTAACCAAAAGCACAAAGTTCACAATTTCAGCACAAAATTTAGTTAACCCACTACATTCCCCACTGGTTGTGTCTGAGAATCAAATCATTGATTCTTTAGTTGCCTTTAAGGGCTGGCATTGAGCTCTAAGCACCATTAACTTGACAGCCTGGATTTTTGTTGAACATACTTAGTTAAACAGTGTATAAAACAGGGCCTGATAGTCAGGGCCTAGAGAAACAGGAGAACAGGTCCAATTGAGGCAGATATCAGATCATTTATATAAGGAGACTTTAAGAATAGTCTCTAATTTTTCTTCTGACGAATCTCTAGAGCCAGTTTTTAGCTACATTATACTCTAATTGTTTTACATGTTGTTCTGCTATTTTACCAAAGAAGAGGTTTTCAACAACACTAAATATCAGAGCATATGCTTAAATCTCTTATCTTGAGCACTTGTGGCCCTTTGTGGTGATGTTATATCAAATTATTTTGAGATCAGATCACCACTGCTAATCTACTCAAACAGCAAGGAACATTAGTTAGCAACAGAGTCTGAGTATGTGGATTTTTCTCAAACTCAGGGCAGGAGGACAGGCAATATCTCCCATGGCCCCACTGTTTTTTTGTGTCACCCCTCAACCTGAAATATTAGCCAGGGAGTTTTCTCTTTTGTTTTGAGGTCTGGCCTGCAGCAGGGACCATCTGTCTCTCTCACAGTTGTAACATATTTTGTCTTCTGTGTTTTTTCCTTGAGGGCCTCGTCCTGCCTGACTGCCTATGATATTTTTGTCTAACTTAACTGCTTGCAACACTCACCAATCCAAGTTATAGCTCCAAAACATGATAGATTTTAGTGGTAGCAGAGATGGTGGCAGCAGCAGCAGCAGCAGTATAGCAGAGAAGCAGAAATAAGGGGTGGGCCTTTATTAACATTGAAGACATGGAGAGGATCCAAGGCAGGGAGATGGGCAGATGTTTTGACCTGAGGCAGAGAGCCTGGGGCTTATGGACTTTTGCTAGGGTGGAGTTTGAGAGGCGGGGTCAGTGACACACAAGGAGCTGATTGGAGGCTGCCTGGTGTGGGCAGGAAAGGTAAGAGGAAATTGTATCCAGGGCTGGAGTGGGGAAGGAGGAGGAAGTGGTCACTGGGGAGATAAGCTGTTGTTTTAGGGATTCAGCCATGTTGAATCAGGGCCATGATAATTTAGCAGTCTGTACTCAGGCCGTAATGAACAATAGAAAAGAACTCATTAAAATCAGAGAGGTAACTAAATATTTAAGTAAAGCTTAATAGTAGTACTAAGAAAGATGGAATGGGTCGAAAATATAAGAATGAAAGAAATAATGTTTGAGAAATAGAAAAAAGGATAAAAGATTAAAGATCTTATTAAGTAGAAGAAAAATAATGCAATTAGATAGAAGTAAGAAAAAGAAAAGCAAGAAGAAACAGTGAACTTTTAAAAAAATGATAAAAAGGAAATAAAAAATGGAAAAAGAAAAAAAATTCCCCTCATGTCTCCCTAAAAAAGAATTAAGACAGAAAAAAAAAGTGAATCCAAAAATTTCCTGTGATTTTGACTGAGTGGTTTAATTCCAGGACCTTCAGTATTGGAATCCACCAGATATGGGGGAAGGATAGTTAGTAACTACTGAGACCTGTTTTATTTTCATTCTTTTTTGAGTATGTGAAGGTTGGATCTTGCCTTATCTTTCCCACTGGACATTTATGGTCAGTGATGTCCACTGTAGGGCTGTATTCACTCTGCAGCTCCAGTGTTTTGTTCTTCTGTGCTTCCCAAGGCATAGCTTTCTCTGTCTTCCTTCTGGCCTGTGAGTTTATGCATGTTGTTAGTGCTTCAGAGGGCCCCCTACAGCAGACATAGGTTCATGCACTCCAGGTGTGGCAACTGTGTAATCTGAGCTACATCCTTGCATATGTTGGTAGATTGCACACTACATCCTTGCAGTGTGCAACCATGGTGGAATAGAAGATGAAAAGCAAAATTTGAGGATGAAATTTGGAGATGAGACCTGGTTAGAACACTGAGAAGGACAGAGAGGGGTTGTTTTAACAGAGTACCCATTGTTAGGGAGGAGACTCCCAAGATTAGCACCACGGCTAAGAACTCTCTGGCTTTTCCTCAGAATATCAGTGTTAGAGAAAAAGCATTTGGGGCAAGGAACTGTCTCAATGATAGGCAGTTTTTCAGGGGAAAAAGGAGGACACCAGCCAAACACAGCACACCTCACTAACCTAAACTTCTTTGTGTTTAACTTCTCTCACCTCAGACAGCCTGCTTGTTTTTGCACCACAGTTTGACCACTGACTCTTCAGGCCTGTCCTTAAAAGTAAATTGGCCCAGCTTCTCCCCATAGAAGACAGGAACCCTCTGTCCTTCCTAGTCCAAATTTAAATTTCTCAGGAGGATCTCCTTTAAGCCTACACCACCTTTATGACTGTCTATTGTGACTGTCTCCCACCCAGTCACTGTGGTAATGTGACACTAGGAACCCTGAAGTATAATTCTTCTGTAGCTTAGCTTCGAATAACCCCTTTCCTCAAATGGATCCTGATTAAATCCTCTCAAGTGTGAAGGGTATTTCACTGGAGTTCTTCTCCAGTTCAAACTTACCTTGTGAAAGGAGCCACTTTCAGAGTAAAACCCCATACCTTTTTTGTAGTTCACAATAACCATAAGCTTTTCTCAGAGCTACCACTCCAACCCCACTTTCTGTCTATGGCTTGCAACCCTCTCTGGGTTTATGATGTGTCGGTGAAGACAGGTACCTCTCTGTGGGAGCTTGAGTCAGCTTTCCAGGTTGCCTCATTCTTTCCTCACATTTGTGCTCTTTTTCTTCATCTTCTCCATATTTTCTAGTTTTTCTATCAGCTCTCTGTTGATTCCCAGAGGTCTACTTTATTTATGCTTCAGCAAATTGTTGTGTTCTAGGTGTCTTAATTCCAGGTTCTAGACAGACTCCATTTTCTTTCTTTCTTTCTTTCTTTCTTTCTTTCTTTCTTTCTTTC